TTTTAAATTGTTAAATTTAACACATAATTGACATTTCTGATAGAGTCATACTAAATAACTAGTTGAAACGCCTCACCTTGTTATTCACGGAAAAGTTCTTGAACGGCGTATAACGACGCAAAGATATGTGTCTGAAATAAAAAATATAATTCGATCTATAGCGCTTTCATGTATAGATCTACCAGTCTCTTCCAATGAAATTCTAAAATTTTGATATTACAAAAGTTGAAACCATTAAAATACCTGTTTGAAGATGATGTACGCCGACGCTCCCATCTATCTTTTGAAATACTTGAGCCTGTAATATTAATCAGATGAATGAAAGTAACGTCTTCATCTATCGCAAAAACTGAGTATGACCGCATTTAAAGTTTGATAACATAATTTTGAATAAAATTAGCAACAACTTTGTTTAAAAATTCAGCATTATCAATGTCATGCTCGAAAATCATAGCTATTAGCACAAAACTTTACTTCAACAAACAGGAAACTATAAAATAGACATGCAAGCATTAACAATAAACTACCAGCTGGTGAAATTATTGGTGAAATCTGCTGACTGACACTGTGTTCAGGCTGAGGTGATGGTGATTCGAGATTTAGTATATCTTCTGAACTATTTTCTTGATGGGTATCTGAACAAAAGTGCAAATCAGGAAAAATTAGAATAGAGAAAGAATTAAATCTGATACATATCAGAAAATACGTATAAATTTAAAAAGATGCTTCACAAAAATCTGTGTTACAACAAAACAATATTAGAGAGTACCATCAGTTTTCCAATCAAATTTAAAATGTAAAAATCACTTTAATTGACGTTTTAACTCATTGTGAGCTACTCCTATTATCCTATTCTAGTCATCTGGAAGTTGGAACTATTATGCTTCATCGACTCCAGTCAGCTTTTATTGCTGTCAAATAATTACTTCATTTTAATAGAGTCAAGAAGCAAACTAAAAAACTTTTACCCCAATTTTGAGTTTCAGTTGATTTGTCAGACTTATTTTCTATAATATTCGCACTTTCAGTAGCAGTCAATTCCATCCTTCTATTATTTTCTTTCTCTTCAGTAAATGTATGATTGATATTTTCTACAGGATAACCACCATCTGTAAAACAAAATATGAATAGAAATGACGACCTTATATATTCTTCGTAATTATTAACATATATTAATACCCTCTGTTGGAAAAGATGAGTAAAGTTGAGAATCTTCGCAATCAATGGTTATAATTTCATTTTCTCCATGATCTAAAAATTTTAATTTGGAAAGAAATTCTTGAAAACAATCAACACTCGGGAAGACCACTCATAGATACAATACTTAATTGTAGTCATAATCTCGTATCCCTTCAATCATGTTCTTCCAATTAATGTAAGCAATTTTTATTTTCGTATACGATTTACTCAGCTGCCTTTCTTTAAATACATGTTCCTAATACGAATCCCTACGCTATCCAACCATAGTTTACAGGAAACTATAATATATGATATATCGAGAAAAAAATCAATGAAAACAATATGCACTTTCTTCAGTAATTTTCATCCATGAAAAAGTGGAATATTTGTGAAACACAAAATAATTTGTTCACCTTTACTTATTCCTTCACTAATTGGCGTATAGGCATTTACTGATAGATGGCTCAAATGCTCTGAGATAGCATTCAATCTTGAATTACAGTTCACGTCAGTCTTTGGCACTCTACATGACGGTCGAAACAGATTTGTCACTGGTGAAAGAAATCTAATAAAATATCCTGAAATTTCACAGATTAAAACTTGAAAATCACCAATTTAATTACTACCAGTGAAACTGAAAATTACGGAAAACACATAAGAATGAGACTAGATATAACAGAAAAAAACATCATGCATATATATTAATGAAAAGTAACTCAAACCAAGAAATCCATTGCTACCAGTCTGCTTGTCAGAGGTACGCTCAGTTGATACAACCAATCGTTCTGAAGCAGACTCTATCCTCCTCCTTTTACTGCCACATTCTGTAGTACATAGAAACGAAGGTTCACCCATGAAACAGACTACATTCACCACCGTGACATTTCTGCTAACCCAAAATTAAACGACCTCAAAACAGAGATCATCTAAATGCGGTAGTTTATGCATTTATAATTAAAAAATCGCATATAATAAACTTCCGTAAACACTACGACACTATGCTATCCACTAGCCTTTATCTTTGTTACAGAATCAAAAGCTTCCCAGAGACTACATGAACTTGATACCATTATATTTTGTTGTTAAAAACCTAAGACATGATCAAGTATTCTATTAAGATGCAAGTCAGAATGTAAGGAATATATGCTGCTTTCAAAGCAAATATTAATACAGAATGGCAAACTCCGAAACAAGATCAAAATTACGAAAATATATTTAATCGGTAAAAACACAATGAAATGTTAAACCAAATAATACAAAAATTATTAATGGACGGAAGAATACCTGCGTTAGAATTTGTGCGATAAAATATGCTCATGCATTTACCGCATGTAAAATAGAAATATCATGTGGTATAAATCTTCACAATAATAACGATAATCAATAGTTACAGCAACAAAGACAACAATAACATCTCAGTCGTAATAATTTATCCTTTGGTGGCAAAATTTTATAATTAGGTACTATTATCGAACATAACGACTAATTTAAGTGAATTGAAACTATTAATATTTTTATCACTATATTTTTAATTTGACATTGCATATAAAATAAAAATAATCCGGCAGTTTCTATTTTCTCTCAAATACTAATGAAACGATAAAGCTACTGTAGAATACTAAAACGAGATAAAATATGATTAAACAACAACTGTAATGAATATTAAAAATAAATGACATAAAATATGATTAAACAACAACCGAAATGAGAGATGATAAAAGAGAATGCAGATATTTTATATATGACATATGCCACAGAACAACAAACATTTACTGAAGTATTTCAGTAAATCATACAAATATCATAATTTGACAACAATTTCTAACATATGCTCGCAAAAATTTTAGCAAACTAAAAATGATCGAAAACTGAAAGAAAAAGAAAACTCATAGACAAAAATAAACAGAATTAAGCTTCAGTTTAAAATATAAATAATGCCGAATTAGTCTTTTTTTTCAAATAACTTAGGCGAGTTCAACTTTTTCAAAATTATATCATAAAATTTTGCAATTACGATGGAGAAGAATAGATGCGTAGGGATCGATCCATACCAACTGAGAAAACTCTATGTGCATCGCGTCCGAATCTTACTGATGTAACCGCATCCTTATGCTCTGTTAATGTGGACAACACTGTCCATGGTTTAACATGTATCACTTGAACATCGGCTCCTGCTACAGCCAAATAAGTACCTGATTGATCAAAGCAAATTCCAGAAAGCTGAAAAATTTAAAAATTTGACCATATAAGCCTGGTAGTGTACGGAAAATGTTATTTTTTAATATAACTTCTGAGAAGCTGTAATAATTGGAAATACTTGACGCAGACAAACTGATATCAAAAATCCGAGTTTAAACTATTTTAACGAGATTTAATGTAATTTAAAATGCAGTTAGAGTAAATAGAATATAATATTTGAATACTTTTCTATACTACCTAATTAAATTTTTAAGGAATTTCAGATTAGATGTCATAATTTCATCAATTTAAGATTATATATTCGTTAAAAGGTGAGAAGCAAATTACCATATGTTTCCCTTCATTAATCGTCATTGTTTTGAAACTTTTAAGTTTTCTTAAATCCCATAACTTCACTTCACCATCTTCAGCTGCTGTCGCCAAATAATAACCATTTTCCGAGAATGCAATAGCTTTCACCATTCCTCAAAATTATTTAGCAAATGACACATCAAATCATTAATCATTACAGGTTAAAAGTCCAATAAACAATGAAAGAAAAAACTTCACAAACCTTGATGACCCGGGAAATTAGCAACATTTGTTTGCTCTTTCAAATCCCAAATTTTTACTATGGAATCTGCAGTCCCAGTACCGAAAATGAGACCATCTGGGTGGAACTGTCCACAACAAATAGATACTTTGTTTTTTTCATCTGAGTTCACCTTAAATAAATATTTTTGCTCCAGCAGATTTAGTCTTTATATAATATCTCTTCTTATAGTACATATAAAAATTAAGAACAAGAATTCATAAAATAAAAGGAACCTGCACTTAAAGTTATCACTCGTACTGATTATAATCAAGTACCAAAATGTGCACCAGTGATTATTTTTTACAAAAAACGGAACGAAGCTCTTTATCTTTGCAGTTTTTGTACCTTTATTAATATGAGAAAACATAGATTATAGCAAAAGAATACAAAGCCTTACCCTACAAAGCGTTTTTCCCGAATTAACATCAGAAAGAGCCCAGGAAGAGTCATTGGAGACAGACAGAACGTAGTCACCAGTAGCATGCAAGGATATGTCTGTCACTGCACTTTCATGAGTTTCAATCACATGACGACACGATCCACCTTTAATTGACCAAATCCGGACCTGAATTAATTTTTTAAATAATTGAATGATTAAATATCATAATTAAAAAAACTCCAATGCGCAATTTCAAATGGACATCAAATTCATTAATTCATCAAGTAAATATGCAAATAAATAATACTTGTCCATCTGCGGATGCTGACAAACATGATTCCTTCGTTGGATGCAAAATAACAGCTGATATTTTTTTTTGATGTCCTTTAAATGTTGCTGATACTGTTTCCGAATCAATATCAAAAAGAACAATATTTCTATCAGCTCCACCAGTTAATACCATATTGTCCTAAAAGAATTTTAACCATACTATTACAATTTTACCAAATAATGTATTCATATTACTGATGAAAAATATTTAATGTCAAAGATACCTGGACATCAAGAGCTGTCATTCCAGGCACACTTGTGCTATGGATTCCTGTATGACACACTGTCTGTATATATGTTTTAACTACTTCTGGTTTTGCCAATGCTTCCGGCAAATTTTTTCCTCGCTGTTTTCTTGCAGCTGTTAACGTAGCAGCCTTGTCCTGTAATTTCTTCAATACTGCTTCACTAATTCCTTGAATACCTGGAAAATAAAAAATTTGCATATTTACTTGTGATCAACAGTGAAATAATTAATCAAGTGAAGTAAATCACACTTTTACACTCCCCTTATTTTCATTTGAAAATTTAATTTAAAATAACAAGCTAAAACAATGTCACCTTCATCTACAGTTTCCATTTCATCCTGAATACTGCCAACGTCTACTGCAGCTTGAGGCTTAAGTGTTGAAAGAGCTTCGCGTGCTGCATTTAGTTCTTTTGACAGGCGTGCAATAACACGACAAGCAGCATCATGCTAGAAGTTATATTTCGTTTTTATATCTTCAAAAATATATGTCGAATTAAATTCCGCTTCCGAAATCGATTCTTCAATAGTCATGTAATGCTTTAATTTCAGCTCTTTACACAAATTTATTTCTACTGATTAAAATTATTGCCAGAACTTCCGAAATCTAAAACAAATATAAACAGATCCAACTAAATATTTGTTTCTGCAGTCCTCCTTTCTGATACGACAAAAACGATGTATAAGTGCAGCAAAGTATAATACTTTGATAAAGTGTGAACGAACTTAAGCTCAAATATTTCCTAGCAAGTAGTAATAGTTACAGACTTGATATAATGTATGCGATAATTCTTGACGCGCATTTTGAAGTTGCTCACGTAGCATAAAGCTGTTGAGCATGCACGCATCCCACTCATCCTGTAGTACTTTCAACATTGACGGTATTGATGTTGCTGAGATAGTACGTGGCATCGCATTTGCCATGTCTGTTTTAATTTCCACCAACTGTAAAAAAAAGTGTGCCATGTTTTATCAAAGAAACTGATCCAGAATGCCAACTTATGATGACTAAGCAAGGACACTAAAAACAAAAGCAGTTAATGATAAATATTCGCAAATTATAAGATAAATTTGAAAACAGTAACTTATCAAATAGGATCTACCTAAATTTCTAAAACAAAATAATCACATTTTTGGTGTTAATAAAATATGAAAGATTTCCAAGATTTCCGTTGACAAGTTCTAAACCTTTCAGTGAAATTAACATGTTGAATTAACCTGTTCAACTGAAAGTTTTTCATCTTTAAATGGATCTGTGCCATTTTCATTAATGTACTTCACAATAAGTCGTTTCTCGAATATTCTTCCAGAAACAGGTGATACGACGGGTACTTCTGCAGGCTCACCACTGATCGAACATGTATATAAAGAAGACATCTAAAAGTTGCGCACTTTAAAAATGGCAATTTGTTATTTACAGACCACAAAACACAATGAATAAGAGTTAATTTTTTACTCCCAGACTTTTCTTTACTAATCCATAACTGTTCACTTTTCAACAATCGAACTTTACTACAACGTCAAATTACGACAGCATAAATCAGCTTATAAAATTAATTATTATGCTAATTGTATGCAGTAATTTCTTATTCATAATTTCGAGGTAGGATGAAATATGAAACTGATAAAATTTAAAGCCACTCACTGTTTTTTAGTAAATGTAATTATTTAATGACAGTAATAATATTTAACATCAAGAAGCAACAATGATAGAAGCGGAAAGTTTGTATGCTATTTAAAATGAAATGGACTTCACAACTGTTTCACACACGAGTTGGAATGATGAAAATGCTAAAAAGAGCAAAAAACTCTATTGCACAAAATAGAAGTAATTTGAAATAAAATTCTATAGGAGTATATGCCGAAATGACTTCAGCGTGCGTACTTCAACTCACTAGTACTATATACTTTTCCCTCTTTATCAAGTCTGTGACGTTGATAGGTGACGATTCAGATTGCGACGTCAAAAAGAAAAATGATATGCAACATTAAATCTCAGTGAGAAAAAAATTTACTTTTCTGAATTCTAATATTGCGATGAAATCTTTGTACCATAAATGGGCAATGATAGAATATGCAACATTAAATCTCAGTCAGATTAAGAATTCATTCTTTTAAAAGTTATTTGCACTTTGATTGGTTTCTTGAAGTCCACACAATAATGGAATCATAGATTTTGTCAGATACACTTCCAGCGCTAATTGTTTTTTGTTTTATTGATAAATATGCACTATTTGCTGGAATCATGAAGTGAAGTTCTTATCACATTATTTTTTACAATTCCGTCCGTCATGAAGTACCTTCCCGATATTAAGTGCTGCGTAGACATAAACATAACAAGGATTCATGATAGGCTAAGAATTCTTCTCCCTTTGCTAAGAATCCCCATTTGAATTAGATATGCAAAAATAATCTACCGCATATATCTTCTGAATATGTATTACTGATAGTATTTAATATTGACTGCAGGATTATTATTAAATATAATATGTATAAACTTTTCAGTTCAATATCTCAACCACTCTTCCACTATATTGTAATTCATTTTTGTATTCAATTCAACTTCTTTTTCTTAATAATTTTTTGCAGATCACAATACATCAGTTGCATATTCAGAAATTCAAAGCATGTAAATACTTTTATTCCAGAACTTACCTGGTCAGTACTGCAGATAAACGCTGGAATGTGCGCAAATCTTTTTCAGTTTTAGCTTTGTGAAAAGATGAAAACAAAGTTGGATCAGATTCTTTAGTAGGTTTTAAAAAAAATAAAACCAGAAGAATTTTCTAGTAGTTTTTTTTTTACAATCAAAAGTAACAATAGCATTTCTAGCAAAAGACAATTACTCGTGTTTGATGACGATTATTTCCTGATTTTTTACAAATTCGTCACATGTCACTGCATACATTCCAATACATTTTATCAGTGATAGAAACAACGTTATTACCAAACACCAGAAATCGCTGTTATATGCTTTATTAAAAGGTGAGCAATATTGCTGATGTTATACGCAATAACATATGTAATTGTTTGGGGAAACTTGACGTAATTAACAACAATCCATTCAATTGTAACAAAGCTATCTTCAGTTTTAGTAAAGTTTTTTAATACTAAAACAATTAGCAGTGAACATGTAAAGGCCTAATTTTGCGATTTTCATGCATAAAAATGGATGGAATAAATTTGCAAAGTACAGGAATATTTTGTATTATACAAAATTTGTATTACAGAGTCTTATACAGTTTCATTTTGCATCTCAAAATTGTCGCAAGTCTAATGGATGAATGAATGAGTGAATTTATTTTGTTCTAAACTACTTGACAATAAGTTAAGAATCTAATGACTTATTAATATTATGTCTGAAAGTTTAAGAATTTAATATTGTGGACATTATAAATTTCACTACAAATCAAAAATAAGTGAGATATGAAATAAAGTTCATTCTGAAACTGTAATGAAAGCAATTTCAAACGCCACCTTCCGAGATGAATTCATGCATATCATAGTTTTTCAAAAAGTGAGCCCAGTCCACATCTTCTGTTCTGCAACAGCACTACATGTCATATGCAACAAGTATCAATTACGGAAAAACAACTAACTGATTTCTGAATTTAACATATTTGTAGAAAAAAAAATATATGCAATGTTATTAGTCAGAATATTGGCGTTGTAATGCAGTAATTTATTATCATAATGACTTTTTTATTCTATTTGCTCTGAAATAAATTTTGCTCAAATAAAAAGCATTAAAAACAAAATTAAATGCTAAGAAAAAAACTTACATATTTAATTTATTGACGTTACTTGATGTGCAGTAGGATTCTGTTTTGTAGTGACACTGTTTGTGGCAGACAATACGACAATCTGAAGTTGTAAGCATAAATTGATTCTAAAGTAAGCAACAGTTTTTTGATACTTATCTAGAATAAGCGTCAATTTTTTTAAATAATTATTTTGAATTTCCCAATTAATAATTTGAATTAAGTTAACAATTATCTTAAGTATTCTAAATGATAACAGAGATATACGATAGTGATAAATAATGCTATCCAAGTACACACACACATACACTGGAAGATTCGTTCGTATAGACTTGCTTGCTTATTTTCTCCTCATCAATTCACGATTTTGTTTTATTTAATAGTAAGAAGGGATAAAAAATTGTACTAGCAACATTTATTTAGTTCTATTTTAACAGTGAGGAGAAAATAAACAAATCTATCCAAATTACACTGCTAAAGATATTTCTGAGAAGAGCAGCTGCTGCTACAATATTCCTCAACTAACTACTGTTTATGATTCACTGCCAGAAGATTCTCAGTTGCAATACTTCTTGTTGAATTTCTTCGATAATCACTCATTACTTTTCGTAAGTGTACTGAGATATTTTAAAGTTTTCAGTTATATAAAAAATTAGCAAAAATAATTTTTTCAAAAAACAACAAAGATATAACTGGATCAATACCCTGAGAGCTTGGATAAAAACTTATGATCTGACACAGAAATATAAGATGGCAGAATTATATCTGTAGATTGGATTAAAATCATCGCCAGACACAGTTTATATCGGCTTCCATTTCGAAGCTAATTAAAGCAAGCATATATAATTTTTCCTTTCTGCTATAAATAATATTTCGACTACTTTTCTAATTGTTTTCTGAATATTTTGATGCTTTCGAAGCTTTGCTATTTTATGTGATTTCAAGCTAACAAAAACAGTAACGTTATTACCTCGGCACTGATATGCTTGTTTTGTGAAACTGCTTCGTCCGACTCGCTGATGGCATACTTCACAAACAGTCCCACTAGAAAACACAAATATCAAACATTCAAAATGCAGTGTTTTTTTAATAAATTATATCAATTCTTTAATGCTTACTTATCAGGTTTACCTTGGACTTTTTACAGCAACAAAAGTGTGTTCATTGTAGACATGAAGCTTCTTGCCTTGTCGTAAGAACTTCATTGCAGCTGGTTCATCCAGTATTGCAGATGGCACTAGGTAATAACTAAAATTATACAACTAAGCTAAAGTTTATTTTTATCAAAAAGAGTATTACAAAGAACTTTTGCCACTAATTCTAACCGCTTTTCTCCATTTTCACGCATTTCCAGAAGTAAAGTGCTATGTTGATAGAGGCTTTTTGTTGAGCGTTCAGATTTTCTTCCGTATGACACCGAGTCATGACTTTGACTTCCTATACAATTTATTTTTACTATATACTGCATTAAATTTTTCAAAATTACGATAGAATCTTTGATTTCAAATGAAATCTTGGAACCAAATATAATAAATAATAGACTTATCCAATGATTTATTTTTTGATCTCACTAAAAATACTGATTCTAGTATTTTAATTAGCTGCTTCTTTTAAAGTTATACCCCAAAAACGTGTCCTTGAGTGATCACGAGAAGGTGGTAATGATACGGCTTCATCTAATTCATCAGATGGGATCTCACAACTTTTAGCACGTCTGCTAGATCGCCTGCGACCGCTTAAACGATCACGTAGCTCACCAAAAAATGATCGTTCACGTTTTTTGACTGTTTTGTCTTCATCATGTTTTTTATCACGTCCTAGACATTTTTGTTGACAAATTTAATTAATGTTACACTCGAAGAATGTTGTTCATTTAAAGTTTTTAGCAAGCAAATTATCAGAAATATGTATTATTCTGCTGGCATAATCATTTACATTTGACGACTACCTTTTGTTGATGTAAATAATTCACGTAATCTGTACGATACCTCTTGATTTTCGTAAGTCATCGTTTTCTTCAAGTGAATGCATTTGTCGTAGTTCAGTTTTGTTAGGCTTTAGCTGTGTTTCTACTAACTGATCATCGCATCTGCAAGTCGAAAAAATTTTTACTTATTTCACGCAATCAATGTTCATACAATGTTCATGTTTTTATGTTATGATTAAGATAATAATCAATTTTAATAAGTATAAGATATTAATAATACGAATGACTGTCGGTTTAATAGCAAATCTTTACTTCTGATACGAATGACTGTCGGTTTTAATGCGGTGTTGATTTTTAGCTTCAGATGAAAAATGATGAGCACTAATCGTACCACTACTACCTGGTACTTCTTGCTGTTGATAGTGTGATCTGCTACTTCTTGGCGTATTATTAAGCTATAATATCAGTATTCATTACTGCAGCTATAAAAAATAGTGCAAAATTAGCAACAGCAAATACCTGCTGGTGGGGCCCTCCACCCATAGTTATGGAACTGGTATGTTCTTGCAATCCAATGAATTCAGTTGATTGCTGAGGTAAATTGCTATCAGAAGCAGGATAATGCTGTCTCTGATTAATATTGATTCCAGCTTCCTGTTGATCTCCTGAACTATGAACCTGGAAAACACAATACTACACAACTGATGATCTCGTTATACATGAACTTTTCAGGATAAAATTGGTATTCCGAAAGTTTGATAATCAAAAAAATTTCAAAGCATTTTTAAATTGATATATCTTATGCAGCAAAAATAGTGTAGTTTGAAGAATTTCAGATGATATCACAAATTATTAGTATTTCAAGATTCATTTATCGAGTGGTATCTCAAGATTCATTAATGGAATGTAGTATGAATAACATCGATCTCGTCACCTAAGTAGTTGAAAGTGTAAGAAGCAACATCTTATTTGTTTATATTACAATATAAACTTGAGTAATAATCCTTGACCCATATGAGTTTCAGACAATTCAGACCATCTGTCTTTGGCGATTCATGCTATATCTAGAGTTTTTCTCTCTTGCGTTAATATTTCTGATAAAACTTAATTAATTTAAGTCACTAACAAATTTCTTTTAAACGAATATAACTAATTTTTTGACTTTTTACTTATAATTTTTCAATTTTTCATCTTTTCTCTTCAAGATTTTTTCAGGAATTTTGAAATTAATTTAATAAATATAAATTAATAATATCATTTCTATGCATTAAATTAATGGAAATAAAGCAAAAAACTGACACAATTTTTTCACATTTGCTTGGAAAAATAAAATCATACATTCAAAGTGAGAATAATAAAATGTGTAAGCATGAAGTTGGAAATTGAATAACCTGCCCAACTGCTTTTACTGAAACAACGGTTGTTTTAGGTGCCATAACATCTTTTGCATCGTATGATCCAAAGCTGTCTATAAAGATTTTTTGTACCGAAAAATAAAATCCGAAAGACAAGCCAAAAACAAATACGTAAAAGTCATTCATCGAATTTTGTAGTCGAAACTGACTTTCTCAATCTACCATTAGTTTCCAAATGAAATTCATTCATGTCGAGGCAAAATAAAACTGTAGACATTAAGTCATTAAACGAATTTGAAAACAGATTACTAAATCCATTCAATCTAGTTTGAAGAAAATACAGTTTGAAAGCTGAAATTTGGTTGCGATTAAAACAGGCTAGCAATTACCACGTGGATCATATATAGGCCTTTTTGTACTGCTTGTACTCTCGCGAAATTGATCGAAGTTAGTGCGAATGGTCGTCTGATCCACATTCTTGTCAACAGAATCTATCACCGGATCGTGATAGAAATCAAACTGTAATAGATTTAGATCTCGTTAATATTAATGTAAGCTTGGGTTCTTATTTTTGTAATTGTAATTGAATATATTTTAAAAAATTTGCAGTATGAAATCAAACGATGCGATCAAATATTTGAGAAATATTCTTGGGATAAATAATAAACAGGAATTATTCGGGTTGCCAGACTTGCAAATATCATGTTCAATATAAAATATACAGTAACCACCTTAACAGTCAGATTTCCTGTAATCATATCGTTTCTGTATGGTCTTCCTTGTAGTTTCAACGTATACGTTGAATCTGCATTGGAACGTCGTACTTCTTCCAGGCTAACAATTGCTAATCCCAGAAATCGATCATCTTCAGAATCAGCATATACGGATTGTCTCACACGTTCATCAACATGACTTATGTCACCTTCGTAAATTTCAAACAAAATTTCCTCAGATGCTGGCGTTAAATTACTGCAAAAGTTTGTAAATTATTTCGAGAAAGAAAAATTAAAACGTTTTTACAAAGTTTTTTAAAATATAAATGAAAGCATGATTAAAATGAAGAATAAATTGCTTATTTTCATAGTTTTCATTTTAATATATTTTGTATAAAAGCCCATAGTTATAATAACATTTCATATTGTGTTTTTGAGTCCTATACTGATTTTGTTAAGTTATTTTAGAAGAATAGAAGTTACAAAGTTATGTTATGACTAGTTTTGAAGCAATTTACTTACAAATGGAATGATTCTTCCCAGTATGGACTCATATTAAGTCCAAAGCTAGTCTGAAATTTCTGCGCGGGCTCATCCATTTCTAGCACTACATATGGTTGATTGACTGCTATAAAGCTTGAAAAATTTTACCATAAATGGTAATTTGATCTTAGGATTAGTTTTTCAATAATTGGCAAAAGTTCATATCAATCAGTATATTTTCCAAAAAGTACAGTAAGTGAAAGTGTTATATCAAGTGTTCATTTATTCATTATATAAAAACAACCTTCTGGTACATCAGTAGATACATGACCTCTATCTTCTCCATTATTTCTACTTGTGATTAGTACCATCTACTTGGTATTTAGTAAAAGCAAAAGTAAAGGTAACGAGATCAATTGAAAGCAACTAAACTTTCAACTGCTATTTCTACATCTTTTAAAAGCAATTAAAATGGAACTGATACTTCGTTCGCAGCCAAGTCGATGAGCTCGGATCACTTTGACGCACATTTTATTAGGTGTTGCTTGTAGTTTTGCAGCTTGATCAACCAACTGCAAGTACAAGCAACTACAATATTATAAGTGAGTGCAAATTTTGCACACATTTAAGAAACATATGGATGAAGTGTTAATTCTGAGCTGATAAACTCATTCTTAACAGAAAAAATCGTTAGTCAGAAAGTAAGTGAGAGATTGATTCAAATCGCGTTTTTAATATGCAAATGAAAATTATATTCAGATCGCTTACTTAATATGTCCAGTATACATTGAATTACTAGTAAAAAAAGTTAACAAGTACTACCTTTCTGATTTTGATTGTCATATGAGTAGAGTAATCGGAACGTGTAAGGTACAGTGCTCTCATTTAATTATTTATCCATTTATTCATTATTTACTTCTTTATTTTGAGAATAACCTGAGTGTTTTGACTTATTCGTCGCATTATTTCTTGTACAGGTGCAGTAACTGTGGTACTACCGCTACCATTTTTGTAATCTGAACTCACAATAATATCTGATGCTTCAGCACTTCGTGTTGGCATTTTACGAGAAGTAACGGGAAAGATATTAGTTGGTGCTGACTGTGATGACGTGGTATTACGATGCTCACTACCTTCTGTTAATGTTACATTCGTAACAGCAGAGAGAAGGCATTTACGAATCATTTCATCCACTATTATACTGGAAACTGTTCCTGCCTGTAAATACATTACATTGATTGTACAACGATGAATATATCGCTATCAGGTATTAAAAAACTTATTTCTTATGCCCAATTCATGCTTTATTTGAGTGCAAATTACAAAATACACAATGTTTTCAATTCAGTTTCCTTGAATTTTCTACAATACACAACATCACCGGACTAGAATCCTTGTCTATCAATTCGATGTCTAATTCTGGTCGTCCACAAAAGCATGCCATTGCATAAATTTGATTAGCAATGCATGCCATGCGTATTTCTACCTAAAATTTCAATAATTAAATACAGAATACATATTTTTTTTTTGTTAAAATTATTTTAAAAGTATTTTTTCTAGCATATAATTAATATTGATAATAATTCAACACGTCAGAATTTTTTCCGTTTTATTATACAACTTTAACAAACCTCTCCATACAGATCAGTAATTTTCGCATCATAATTTGTCACTAGAAGCCGGTCTTCAGTTCGTTGAGAAGTAATCAGTTTGAAATTCATTTCAGGTACACTAATGTTGCTTTTAATAATCTAAATAAATTAGTATTGATAAATACTGATATGAAAAAAAAAGCTAGTGAAATATGATTACTCACTATGATAGATAATTAGCTTGTAATTAATAAATAAATGATGAGCAATCAGATGAAGCATGCATTTTACGCAAATAAATTTTTACGATATGATTATTGGGCTCTTGATGTAAGCGAATATTAGTTACACGTGGAACCTTCGTCACATTTTTATTACCGCTAAAACCTTCAAAGAGTACTTCACAATTTCTCTGAAACTTTCAATTTTATTAGCTGGTATCTATTTGCTGTTATTTTAGTAACATATTTACTAGGCTATTTGACTTGAAAGAGAGATTTTCGTGATCTTTAGAAAAAGTAAAAAAATACAGGTGAGGAAATTTTTTTAGCAGCTTCATTCATAGCGGTTATCCAGGCCTGTATGATATTCGGCGTACGGTGAAAATTGCTATACAGCCATCCAATTAAGTCGTTTAACCAATCATCTGACTGTTCACTTTTGTTCCATTTGCTACAACTCTAATACTACGTAAAGTGCCTTATACACGTTTGTTGTAATACAAAATTTATTAAATTATGATCTAAGAAAAATGCAATATTAGCAAACAAATTATTTGCATATGAAGAAAATTGAGGTGCATATGATTGCTTTTAAGGAGTAGCAACAAGAATATAAATAATATTATTCAAAACAGTCTTTTTAACAATAAATGCTCAATATGCAAATACGCAACATATATTATTCTACTTCTTAACAGACATTTATGTACTGAAATATAATCGTAATAACTACTTCTATATAAAATGTATGTATACAATCATTGCAGTACTTGACAATACATGTGAGATTTTTAATCTTAAGTAGACAATAAAATACCTGGAAGAGCTAGCAAGGGTAGTTGAGGCATGTGAATTCACGGCCAGCTCCTTCTGAGGTTCACCTATTTTTGAAAGCATAATATAACACAGTACACCAACAACAAGCCAGGATATAATCAACCATGTTAGTCCGTCCATCGTTGTTTCCTTTCAATGTTCACGTAAAGTTGATCCTTCTAAATTATGCCTTCTAAGTTTCATTTTCATAATGAATGATAGTTTTACTTACTATATTACACATATAATCCATCACAGAATTATAAAATGATTTTGTTCAGAACTGATTATAAAACGTGAACGAACTTGTTGCTGTGATTTTTTTAGCAAAAAATAATTGAAATTGAAATTTGACAAAAGTGTAACTCTTCTGCAAAAGTTGAAGTCTTTGTGAAAATTTGTAAAAATTACAAATTACATGAGCCTATTGCTGTAATACTTTGTCTTGTTGAAGAATATCTTCTCTGATTTGTTTTCACTTTTAAATTGCAAAAATTTATGCTAATAAAACAATAGTACTTAGTAACAGTATCACTGGATGTTGGTAGTAATATCAAAGCCAATTAAGCTATGTTCTGACAAGCAAAAAATACTATCGTTCATTATGAAAATATGCTTTAATCATTAAATTTTGTTTACTCCAAGTGGAAACAAATTTATCTACTTGCTTATTTAATTTGGAAACTATACTATTTTTGTTAACAACATTTATGGCATAAAGTTTTTTCAAGGAATAGAGTAAGCGTTGATTTAATTGAAGGAAGAAGGCAAGATAAGAGGTCAAAACAGATGACTCTTGATATAACTATGCTTATTGTCTAGATGTGACTTAATCGCACACGTAAGTGACATGATGGAAAGTGTAGATGGACTGGATGAATATGGTAGAGATAAGTTCTCGCGAGTGAAAGCGGTATTACGAAGGAAATTTAGCTGAATGAAAAAACATTCTCAACTTCTATCTTGAAAAAATATAGTTTGCATTTAGCGCAAAAGTGAGGCATTGTGTGTATGTGTGTGTGTGTGTGTATGAATGTATATGTTGTGTGAGTGTCTGTGGCGTACAGTGCTGGCTAACTGTTTAGTGTTACAGCAATATAGAATAATGTAGAGACTAGATTGTTTTGCAATTTTACAAAATACACTCACGCATAAGCTTACGTACACACACATCACAGTTAAACTGTATAGTTAAACTTAACCACAAAAAAGTTTGCAAATAAAATGACAGGAAAGCAAAAATTAACTCACAATGATGAAGGAGTGAAGAAGAAGGGACTGAATAAATCCTTGGCAGGTACACGGAATGGGACACGCAGGACAAATGTGAAGAGGCTGTGGTTGGAGAAGTTCGTGCAAGCAAGCAGCTTCAGCTGAAGTTGTTTTTTCGTTCATCTCTTGCTCCGATGTACAAGATGATGCCGCTTTTACCAAGCAGATAATCGATCATTCCTCTTAAACTTCTGCTCAGTTCACTTCATACACTAACATACACGTATATATATATATATATATATATA